AGAGTTCTCAGACTCAGGTGAGCTACAGATGTTATTCTAGGATAACATCTGGAACATCTACAAATTAATATTGCTGGAGATTCCCAGTAATTCCAGGTTGAAACCAGCGTTTATTAATTCAGTGTTATAAATCTTTAACAAAACATTTTTATGCAAGTCACATTTCTTTCTAGAAGAAGCTGGAGATTGCTCTCAAATTCATAAACTCCTTATCAGTTATGTTGAAAAAACATTAATAAATAAATCTTAGTCCACAAACATCCTTATTCACATGTTCACTTAAATTTTCCCCTTTTTATGTTCTATGTATCAAACATTTTCAATTTAACCTATAGATATGAAATAATACATTATCGCAAACAATGGCTTAAATAATCATATTATAGGCCATCAAATCTGTCTCAGTTTTGTCATAAAGGCTGCCTGTAGGAATTTTAAATGTCCAACAGGTGTCAGTATTCAGTGACACAGTATGGACACAATATCAATACAGTTTGCAGGTGTGTCGAAACACTTCATGACGCCTCATGAACTCATCACTAACAGACAGTATAGTTCCAAAGAACAAAAAAACCCTCCAAAATAATCCCATAGTTATCAGGCATTGGATGACTTTTCATAAACTTTTATAAGTTTCAGGCTTATCTAGCAAGATTACGTGAGACTAGGCATGCTTTGGTGGTGCAGTGGTTAGTGACCACAACCCATGTACGGAGGCCTTAGTCCACGACGCGGCCGACCCGGGTTCGAATCTGACCTGTGGTCCTTTGCCGCATGTCTCCCCCTCTCTCATAACCCCTTTCCGGTCAGCCTACTCTCCAAAAAACATCCACTAATGTCGTAATTACAGGATTGGCAGATTCTGAACATTTGAATGAAGTTTTCCGTAGGAAAAACAATTGCTCCTTTTTTTAGTATTAGCCGTACAATGTACGGCTGTACGCACTGCTAGCTAAAAGCCTGGGGTACATGCTGATGTTTCTTCTTTGCTGCAGGGAGCCAAAAAAGCAGCGATCAAGATTCTGAAAAACTTTGACGAGGCGATCACTGTAGACGTGGCCAGTTTGGATCCAGAGATGCTCTACCAGCGGCCTTATGCTGGGTGAGTGGCCTCGCCCTAAACAGCAGACTCTAACTTCGCTGGTAAAATGGAAGATTTACAGCGCTCCCTGTTTGTAGCAGAAGCTGAGAAAGAACTTTGTAATTTTTCATTAACTCCTCTAAAATGTTTTATGATAGTTGTTTCACCTTCTGTTAGGGCAGATAGTAGCTCCGTCCTTGTTTAATGGAGACACTCAGGCGTCACTCAGGCTCACTTTTATCCCATCTTCTCTATTGGCTCTTTTCCTCTGCCTTCTCAGGAAGATGACTTTTGGAAAGGTGAACGAATTGGGTCAGTTTATCAGGGAGGCCGAGCCAGAACCTGACGTGAAGAAATCAAAAGGTGAGACCCTCACAAATTCTTTTCCTGCCCTCTTTGTCCTTCATTCTGCACCTCCTCTCTGCTGCCTGAGGATATAAACTTTATCTGGCTGCTCCCTGCAGCTCCAAGCCCTATGAAATATTGAAGAGATTTTCTGGAGTGGGAAAACAGTTTTCTGCTGCGGAAGTCAAACAAAAGTCTCTGTGACCGAGAATAGAAGCTCTCAAGGTCTCCTTATGTCTGAGCCTGCATGCTGACTTTTTAGGATTCCCACAACTTCCACAGACTAACCAGACATGAATTCAAAACCTAAATGCTGCTGTCCTGAAAAGCAAGGGTTTGAGGTAATGGTAAATGTTTTCCTTTCCTTTCAAGGTTCCATGTTTTCTCAAGCAATGAAGAAATGGGTCCAGGGCAACTCTGATGAGGTGAGAGGAGAAGCTGTTAAAGTATCATCAATGATTCATATCGGCTCGCCTCAGGCTCTCACTCTGCTTCCACAGTTTACTTTTTTCTATACATGTCTTTTATTTTTTACATTTTCTCATTAAGGCTCAGGAGGAGATGGCGTGGAAGATCGCTAAGATGATCGTCAACGACGTCGTCCACCAGTCGAACCACGACAGTCCCAGCAAGTCCACCAAGGTAGAGAGACTCGCTGGGCTTTCTCAGCCGGGATGTGTGTGATGATCAGATCCGCTGTTAAGCACCGTCTTCTGTCCGTCTGCAGCTATGACCCCAGCGAGGAACCAAAGGACGGCGAATCCCTGCAGACTCTAAGTCAGCTGGATTTACACTGCTTTACTCCCACAAAGAACAAAGAATTTAAACACCTCCCCATTTACCTAACATTTGGGTGCGTGCGGCTGTTATTGTGGGTGAGTGATTGCCAACGCGTGGGCCGGGACAAAACTTGAAGAAATTCAATCTTCTATCTCTGAAACACTATGAAGTGCATGTGTGGCTGCAAGATGGGGGTGCTTGCATTAAACTAGAGGAAGACGCTCCTGTAGAGACGAGCAGCAGCCTGTTGGAACTACGGCTGTTGGTCGTTTTGGACCTATGGAGGATTCCTTAAGGACAGGTTCAAATTCACTCCAAATGGCACCTTTTTTTTTAGCATTCCTTGTTTTTATGAGTTCCTCTTGCCTGGATCTGCAGCTTGGAGCCCATCAGCTCTGAGAAATGTTTTCGAGTCCTTGTGACGGAGTGGTTTACTAACTGAAGCTTACTGTTTGTGTACTGTAGAAGATTGTGGAGGTGAAGCAGACAGAGAAAAAGCAGATCCAGTGAATATCAAGGCACCTTTACAGAGCTTTAGAAGAAATACTCCAGTTATGTCTGAAAACTCCACATCCTTAGGGTTCTATACATATATAAATATATAGATATGAATTCTGGTTTATCCCTTCTATGAATGTTTGTCTTTTTTTTAAATGGTGATCTTAGTTTTTATATAAATATATATAAAGATATAAACATTACTGACAAAAAGACTCAGTAATAAAAGACTGCTAAACTGGAAGGTGTGCTCTGTTCAATTTTATTTTCTATTTGTTTTGCGCCTTACCTATATGTGGAAAGGAACCAGAAAAAAAAAAAAAAACTTGGTACCATGTACCACTGTTTTTTTTTTTGGGGACATGTATGTGTATTTGATCTATAATATATTTAAGCTGTGTTTGATTCAAATACAATTATGATAAAACTTCTTGTATTTTTTCTGTTTCATTCTTTAAATTAGTACATTTTTGGGGGCTATGCTGTTACAAAAAGAAATTGAAGTTAATTAAGAAAAAAATACAGGTCCTGTATTTTCTCATCTTACCACACAGGGGCAGTGTTGGCTGCGCTGTTTTGGGGTATAGTGAGATTTTAGTTTGATTAATTTAAGGTTAATCTAGTGACCAGATTAATCAAAATGTGCTGTAAACAATGTGGGTTCCCGCCTGTAAAATGCAAAAATACTTTGGCTAGTAATTTTGCAGCTAGATTTTATTTATTAATTTATTTCAGTTTAAGTAAAGACCAGATGGACTAAAGGATCAGAACTGCATAACTATTATTTATTCCATGTTGCTAGTTCTATTTTTTTTTTGCCCACCTTTAGGTTTTTGTTATTCCCTAACATCAAGTCAAAACCAAACTGATACCTGCAGTTAAGTTAAGCTGAGACTATATAAAAATATTGTTTTTTCACCTTTAAAATAACCATATATGTTAAAAAGTAGGTATGTGTTCGCTGGCATGTTTGCTATTTTAGAGGTTTTTCAATATAAGAATAGACACAAAATGTACAATCGTCCCCTCATCATATTTGGGAATGGCAAAACATGTTAACAGCATGCATTTTTTTTAAATGGTATTTTTAACATACTATTTAGTTTTTTCTTCATTTATTAGTTTGCAGCTGTCTATTAAAGTACTGTATGTAGCCCAGAATTGGGCCGATCAGATGGCAAATAAGAAACTATTACCGGTAACAGATTTTGTTTACGGCTCTCTCTTCAGCTTTTAATGAGTTTTTTTTATATAGCACAATTTCTTATAAACATTCACATGGAAGCAAAATAAAAACAAGTAAAGATAAAATCGGGTATCAGAGCAAATAAAAAAAACTGTTGGACTACAAACTTAAACTGATAACTGAATTATCAGTTTAACAGTCAAATATAGTTCTGAATAAATTAGTTTTGAACTTTGATCGAGCATAGGAACTAAATGCTGCCTCTCTGAGACTTTGACCCCATTGAACCCAAGCCCTGATGGATACAGCCAAGGTTAGATGAAGCACAATAATGGGGATGTGGCGGTCTAGTGGTCGGGGCATAGAGCTTGGAGTCCTGAGCCAAACTCCCATAGACTGCCTCTGAGCAAAGACCCTTAACCCCACACTGCTCCCCATGATGGCAGCCCACTGCTCCCCAAGGGGATGGGTTAAATGCAGAGGTAAATTTCTCCAATGTGAGATCAATAAAGTTCAATTATTATTTTTATTATAATGACATTGGTTGACTTCAGAACTTTAACTGGTGATTATTTTCCATATAAATGTGCTCATTCTGCCTGTATCCCCTGTAATATCTGCTTGCTTGCTGTCAACCATAGATTTGGGATTTTCCTTTGTGTATTGTTGCATCCATGGTTGAGCTACCTGGTTGGCTCAGAAGTCTCTATTTGGTGATTATTTTCATTAGATGTAAAAGAGTAACGGTCATGCAGCAGTCACTGGACAAAAAAAAAAAAAAAATATTTCTTACAGAATGTATTGAAGAAGATAATTTTAGCTTTCTAGTCCAAGTAAAGTCACCAACTTTTACGTTTTTTTTATTTATTTTTATTTACACATTTACTCAAATTTCATCCTTCAATCTGATTCAAATTTTTTGACAAAACTTTACAGATAAAATAAAATAGTTTGAAGGACAAAATGTCTTTCAAAAGTAAGGGAAAAAAAACTACTTTGTTGCTTTTTGCCTTTTGTGATGGCCCTAAAGATGTGTGTGAGTGTTAAGGAAATAGTTTATCTTATTTAATTTACAACAAACTTGTGAAAACACTATTAAAGGGTGTGATGACCTTCAGCTGATTAAAAAATATACATTGAAGCCATGAGTTGCAGCTTTAATTCTGAAAAGCCTGGACCTTCCGCCAGTTTATCAATGAGGATTTTACTTTGAAGGTCCAAAGCGGAAGTTGAACTCAAGATGCGCTGACTTGACGTAGTTGGCACTGTGGGGCGAAGTAAGGCGCTGTCTGTGGGTCCTGAGGCAGAGGGAGCATCCCGGAGTGGACAGTGGGGAGCGCTTCTCCCACTTCACGTGTTTTCTCTGCTGCGCTTCCAGCTGTGGACTGTGAAAACATCCCGAGTGTCACATTCCACCCTGTGGGCAGCCTGGGCGAGCGGAACACCTGACTTTACTGCGTCTTAGGATTTGTTTTTCCCAGCGGCTTGGATCTTGGCAGAGCAGATGTCCTGGAGGACTGCAGCCACTGATGTCCACTGGTGTCCACTGATGTCCTGCTTGTTGCTCATGTAGTGCTGGACAGGGAGAGGAGGACAAGTTAGAGTGTCGCTCCTGAAGGCGGTGAGCTCCAAATGCATTGGCTCCTGGGCCGGGAGAAGAAAGAAGGTCTGGGTCTGTCCTCGGGTTCTCTGCCCCCAGCCGCTGCCACCATGTTCAGCTGCGTGGGCTGCTTCTGGGTGCTCCTGTCCTCCGCCCTGGTGGCGGTCTGCAGCTTCAGCTTCATCTCCCCCGCCTGGATCGTTAAGGAGCAGCTGAGGAGCGGCCAGCAGCAGCAGCAGCATCAGCACCACAGCTCCCAGGACTCTGTGAGCTTCGGCTTGCTGTGGCACTGCTCCGAGTCTCTGGATCACATGTACCGGTGCTACACCTTCGGTGGGCTGGGCAAGTTTGCAGAGATCCCCTCCAGCTCCTGGCAGGTAACAAGCCATGCATACCCTAAGCCCCTTAGAGAAGAGGGGAGGTGGGTAGGGCAGCATGCATGCAACTGCTGGCCAGATGTGCATGCATGCATGCACATCTGGCCAGCAGTTGTTTATTTATTTAATCTTATCTGCAGCTCCTTAATTATGAAGAAGAAAGTTCATGATTAACATTTTTAACCATTTGAGACTAAGTCTTGTGGCGGAAAAACATAACTGAAAACAGCTTTAAAAATAAAATCAGTTCATGCATATGCAGTGGGACTTCTGTTAAAGATGCATAACTCCTTAGAAACATTCTTTCATTATAGAATCACTAGGGCTGCAACTAAAGACTACTTTTACTAATGGATTGATCTCTTTTTTTAATTAAGTAATAATTGGCAAAGTCTTTTTACACTGAATATAAATAGTGCAGCTAAACTTGCTTATGTAGGGAAGACGTTTAGGGCCACTGAAAAAAATAAAAAAAGTTAACTGATTTTAAAATTTTATTTCAGTTTAATATGGGAAAGAGTCGAAATTTTGATTTTTAAAAAAAGTCAGAGATTAAAGTCAGAATTCTGACTTTTTTTCTTAGAATTCCGACCTTAATTCCAGATGTCTGACTTTATTCTCAGAATTCTGAGAAAAAAGTCAGAATTCTGAGAAAAAAGTCAGAAATAAAATTTAAAAATCAGTAAATTTAAAAAAAAAATTTAGTGGCCCTAATCCTCTTCTGTACATATTAGAGCATATTAATGGATAAAAAAGTTTTTTAAAATCTTGTATCTAAAATGTCATTATGTTTGTGTGGGTTGCTCTTTCAGCTGTTAGTCACTTACTCAAGTTAACAAATTCATGATTACAAAATTATTTGCGGATTATTTCAATGATCCATTTATTAAATTTTTTTTCTGCACTAAACATCAGATTATGATTAATCTGATGTTTGATCTGATGATTAATTAAATTCTTTTATTAATATTTTCTCTTAGCCTATTGGGAAAGACAAGAAGACAAGTCAAATCAAAAGTCAGACAAAGGCATCAATTTAACAGCTTTGTTCATTGCTACAGTGAGGAAGGATCCAGAAGTTTGAAGCAACCCGTGGCTAGCTGAGGATCACTGTTTATTTAACAGCCATACACGGACAGCGTGCTCAACGCCCTCTGTTAGGAAATTATTGCAAAGGAGCGTGTTTTGTGGGGGTCGCCAAATCTCCATGATCACCATCTACTTATTCAAACAACTGTCAAACTTATTTAAAAAAAAAACCTTCTGTATTATCATCACAAACATAAACTTATGGAGTTTGCTGCTCTTTGCTGGGATGTTAACTGGTATTGTTGACCTGCTGCGATGCTCAGGCCTACTGTTATTGTACGGTGGAGGATCTGGCGTGATGTGGGCTGAGGGAAACCTGTCAGAGCGCTTGTTATCATAAACTCTTTACTGGTCCAGGAGATTTTTAATAAACATTGACAATCTTTGCCAAAAAATGTTACTATGATACTAAACATATGAACCAACACAGAACTGGTTCACCTGACACCAAATCAGCCTTCTTCCATTATGAGATTTGGTTCTTTAAATGCTATTTTTTAAGATGGATTTTTCCATAACAAACAGATTTTACATTTTTTTTCCTGTATGTGATTCTGCTGCTGTGAAAAAGATGACTAAATTGATTATCATTTTTTTCTGGCTCCTTGCACATCCTTATGGTCGGGTCAATAGACTGATGGTGAAGTAACCCCTGCAAACGGCCAAATGTGCCACAGTAACAACTTTTCTCCTTTAAGGTCTTTTGTTTAAAAAAAAAACAAAAAAAAACCCAAAGGTGAAATCTTTCCTTTCAGTCTAAAAAAAATGCATTCATCAGAGGAGAGGGTGCGTCACACAGCATGGCATCCCCAAGAAGCAACAGGTTGGCGGGCTGCTCTGCATTCTGGCTCCCCCACCAGCAAGAATTTCCCATATCTTCTGACATTAATCGTGCGCTAGACGACCGTGGTAAAGATCTAAACAACTGTGAAGTTATTTATCACATGTCAACTGGAATCCTCACAGATGAAACAGATCTGACCTGTTTTGGTTGCATTACGTTAGAGAACGATGTTAAAAACACACGTTAGTCAGAAACTAGGCTTTTATTTTGAAAGCAAGTTTTGGGATTATGCCTTTTTTCCTTGAGGCAGTTTGTATCCCCCCCCCCCTTCCGTTCTCAGAACACCCACCAGCACTAGAGCGATGATTTATGTATGAAGGTAAATTAGCATTTGAAAGGGAGTTATTAATAAGTCCTGTTTGTGGGGTTGTAGTACAAACATCTTGGGAGGGAGGCGGACGAGGGTGAACTCCTCGGTTCCTTCTTAGAGGGAAGAGCAGATGTTGTGTCTGCAGAGAAGACAAGGATCAGATCAGCTGGCAATAAACCTGCTTTATTGTCTGTGTGCCGGCCAGGCAGGTTCTGACCTGCAGGGTTCTGCATTATGCACCATGACGTCTGATCGCATGCCATCAGTGTGAGAAGCGAGGTCAGGTCCTGCACTGGACATCATGCTCCTCCTGCTGCAGCACTTCTTTTTGAACTTGGTTAGTAACTATGCAAGGAGCTGTATGAGTTTATGTGTGATAACCTTAAGAAAAGATACCTTAACTGCAGAGTATTAAATGATGAACACAGACTTCCTTTAATTTTCTCTGCATCTCAGTGGTTTTTGTATGTTCTGGCTAATTGTTGATGTTTCATGCTTTCAGTTCAGTGTAATATAACGTTAAGAGGCCGTTTGGCTTAGATTAAGGGGGGTTTAATGATTGTGTAGTTGGTTAATCCGTGCTTTCCTTGTTATGAGCCTCTTTCTGCTCAGAGCGTGAGGTTGATGGAGCTGCTTTCCTGCACAGAGCGACTGGCGTTATTACAGCAGCCGAGCGCAGCGAAGGATGCCGATTCCACCGCCATCAATAAGGGTGAAGGGGGGGCCATTAATTTTTTATCAGAACCATTTATTCCCACACTCCTCACTCATGGGTTTGTCTCGGGGTTCTTTTTTTATGTTGTCGACAAACTGTGGTCCAAAGCAAGAAAATCAGACTGGTTCTTCTCAGTGTTGGTGAAGGCAGACAGTTGATGAGGCTGGCCTTCTTGTTCACCTGTTTTCTGGCAGGACCCCCGACTCCATGTAGGTGACACATTCACGTTGTGGTTTCTGGATGGTTGTTTATCATTTCAAACCTCAAATCTTTGGATTACTTACTAACTGTGTGTATATTTTACCTAATTTTGAACATTGCAATTTAAGACATGTAGAACAGCGTGGAGCTTATTTCTAACCTAAAGATAATCCAAGAAATAATCTGGAAATGATCAGTTTTAAACTCCAGATTCCAATTAATCATTTTGAAAATAAAAACAAATCACCTAAATATTTCCAAATCACATAGACAGCACCACTCTTCGGTGTGGAAGTTGTAAATGAGTGACTGAGAGTGGCAGTTAATTTGATTTTATTTTTTTGAGGGTCAGTAAGGTGTAAAAAAAAAAATGGCTGCTCCTTTCACATCTTTGCCACTTTTGTAAAAAAATCAAAGGACCAGAATCTGAGGCTTAACACTTTAAATGGTCTAATGTTAGCACCTGCAGGCTGAAGCTGAAAGAAAATAAGCCATTTTAATATAAATAAAGACTCCTGCCTGTTTCCTCAGGGGTGTTTGGTGTTCCATCACAGCTTACTGTAGAGCATTATTTAGTTTGTTTATATCAGATCTTGAGGCGGTGGGTTTGCTGCAGGAGCAGCTGTCAGGTCGGACGTGTGACCCTGGAGGAGGTGTGCTGGTAAAGGAGTGAAGCTGCCAGCAGATACTTGCCCCTGAACCTGTTACAGCTAACAGGCTTCCAGCTGCTTCACAGCACTAAGACTGAAGCTGGATTAGTTCCCCTCCAACAGGAGCCGGTCAGTAGCTGTGTCTGTCTAAGCAGGTAGGTGTGTGTGGGCCCTTGGCCTGCACCTCATGCGCTGCCTCTGCAGCAGCGTCTCCCTGTTCAGGGCTTTTCTGAAAGGGCTCCAGGAGCACTGACTGGGACGTGTTTGTGTCCGACCCCGCCTTTTGTCTGGCCTTGAAGAAAATGGCAGCCTGTCAAAGCTGAGATTCGGGGCTGTGGAGGAAAACGTTATCTGCTTCCTCTGGAATCCTTTAACACATGAGGCAGAACCATTGGCCTATGGTGTCTTCCCCGCATGCCAGGAAGATAAATTGTAGACGTTACTGGAGATGTTTCGCTGCGCCTAATTGCCGGCTACCTATGAAGAACACTTACCGGTGCATAAACTGTGGTAGCCCCTCATTTCATCACTCATTGGGCCAGAACTACGTTTAAGTAGGTAGATAACTCTTTTAATGAAATTCATTCTGAATCCTTTGTCTGGCAGCAGCACAGCCATTGTTTTGATTCTGATTCATTAAATCAATATGTAGAGGATTACCCTGTAGGAGGGTTTCATCGTTAAGTTCTCTTACCAATCATTTATTTACCATTTTGTTCAGTAACTCTGTTTTGAATTGATGGGATGTGCTAACTGCTTGTACTGCTGCCTGCATCCATGCAGATGATTGGATGAAGGTCAAAGAGTGAGTTTTTACATGTTTTTTTAAACTATACTTGTCGATATTTGTGCTGAAATCTGTTCTCAGTTAAGGACAGGTTTCTTAGGTCTAATGGTAGAATCTGCTCCGATGGTTTAACTGATAAAACATGGCTAGGAACCAGTCTATAAAGTGCTCAAAAAGAAAAACTAAGTAAAAGTAATTTTATCAAAGCAGAAAATAACTTTGTGGAAAGTCAAGCAACTTTCCACAAAGTTGCTTGACTTGCTTGAAGTTTTTTGATTTACCTTAGTAAATCAAAAAAATTGTGCATAATAATAGGGAAAGAAAAAGTATGAGTTATATTTGTACGTTACATTAAGCAAGATGGACAAATAATGTTTGGTCATTTTACTTCATGTGGGTTTGGA